CAGTGTGTGTGTGTGTGTGTGTGTGTGTGTGCGTGTGTGTGCGTGCGTGGGTGGGTATGCAGGCCTACGGTGTTCAGATTTACGGAGCGACTACACAAATGCATGTTAATCTGCTTTTCAAGGTGTGTGCGCTGCGCTGATGTTTTCATGATGACTGTGTCAGGGTCGCCTGCTGGAGGTGTCTGACGCAACAAGTCGGGACTCAAAACAGGCGTAAAGAAAGACTCCCGATACTTTTACAAGAGCATCTGTCAAGGAAACCAAAGAAAATGTGTCTCTTGTATCCCACGCTGAACATGTTTAAGAGTCTGTGTTAAACCGAGGATAAAACCTCCCCCCTCACGTGTGAACATAAATGTGACAAGCAGACGAGTTACTGGATGATGTTACAGGACTCACACACATACTGACAAACACGATACTTTCAGATGTATTGAAGAAACATTATGTAGGAAGAAGAACAGGAGCTCTGCTGCGACAGTGGAAAGAGGAGTGGGCTGAACTCAGTGCTGCTTCACTGGGAGGAATTTGGTGATCATCTTTAAGCTAAAGTGGCAACTGTTGTAATTGTTTCCCACCAGCCTGCGTGCATCAGACACAAGTACTGCAGGTTTTTCCCAGGACGTCAACTACAGCTACGACTGTGAGCATACTGAGAAGGACTGAACTAACTTTCTGTCTGCAGCCAACAACACATGATGATCTTTACAAACAACCTTTGAAAATGTGTTATAGTTTATACCATTCACTGCATTTTAGAAACATCCTGTCACTAACTGACTCCTGATTAAAAATCATAAAAACATTTAGAAAGACCCTGAATTCAATTTGGTCAAATGTTATCACATGTCCCCAACATTCGCCATAGGAAAACTATTTCACTGTCTACTGTAGTCGATTTTATTTCTCAGACGATACATTTGCTAAATACAACAATTAAAACATTAACAATAACAACAAACAAGTGCTACTGACATGTAAACTTTCTGCCTTACTGCATTTTGAATTCCATCGTGGTTAAAAGTGCCATTTTAAGTCAGTTTGGGGATAAACAGGAACATAAAGTATGCAGCATACATACAGTAGGCAGGAGGGATTGTTGAGTTGCATTTATTTATTTGTTTTATCTATTCAGTGGTTGATTTTTCTGATTCATACTTTCTGTAAAGAATATATCTTTCAGGGAAGGTTTCCTGCAGTGTTGTAGTGGAGGTACGCCATCACCGCTGAAACTTTGACATTGTTATGAACGATAAAACTCAGGGAAACCAAGCTAAAGCACTAACAGGCGCCACATTTGCACAGAATGACATGTTAGGTAAGAAGTGAGGTGATTGTTAACACGATCAAAGACTAAACTAAATTGATAACAAGGCAAAGATGCATCATGGCAGCGCTTACCACCGCTACTAATTAATTTCCCACGTAAACTGCGTAAGGGTTTGCGAGCTAAAAAAGTGAATCAGAGTGATGGTGGGTTACCTGCAACAGTGGCTGATAATGTAGACAAACGTACTGATTTCCCAGCCTGTTTGATTCCTGCACGGCTGTCTGTTTTGACTGATCATCGGCCCACCTCTCCTACAACTAGAAAGGCAAGAGGCTTGCTAGTAGCTGCCTCTCGGGGCGAAGGTATGTAACCCCCTCGGAGATAACTAGGAATGTGGCACGCAGGGGTGAAATGTGACAGGAGGGCTGCAGGTAACACACTGAGAGGAACAGGGGGCTGGGTCTGTGGAAGCAACGGTACCGGACAGACAGGGGGAGCAGACTGTGAGTCAGGACGCAGAGAGAGTCAGCGTGAGACTGGAAGAGAAACAGAACAGGAAAAACTGTGTGGGGAACAAAGAGTGTGAATATCTCTCTGCACAAACGCACACCGACAGATATTCATTTAAAACACACGGAGGCAATTAAGCAGCCAACCAGTCCGGTACCGTCGGCGCTCTGCGGGGGCCGAGTGGCTCAGCTGTTCCCACACCACAGAGCCGCCGCTGTGCCAGCACACCCAGAGCCCTCGGTGGATAACTGTTCAGCCTGTTACTGCCCCGTATCCGCAGCTCAGACCCTGCGAGCGTCTAACTTCACCCTCCCTTAACAACCCCTAACGCTGAGCCCTCCGAACACATAAATAACCTGAATGTGACAGACTCTAAAAGCTCTAACGATGACAGAGTTAACATGGCTGCCGCCGACATCTGCCGAGCCCAAACTCTTGTTTATCTACAGCTCTGGTCTGAGGCGTCGACACGCCCAGGACAAACACACTGCTCAATTTTTAGCCGTTCTCCCTATTAATAGGAGAAGTGCCAATAATAACCGTGCCTAGTAAGCTGAACTAAATAATAGTGGCTGCCCCAGTAACAGAGAGGTCTGCGGTGTTATGTATAACTTGTCAGGGTTATTCTGGGGTGGCAGACGGGCTGACTTAAACTCTGGAAATACACACAGGACTCTTGTCTGGTGACTGAAAATAACTCAGTATTTACAATAAAAGATAAAGTACGTTTTTAGCTTTGGTATCTTCTTTGCTGTCCTGCAGGTACAGTAATAGTTGGGGGTTTAATGTAGGACGAACAAAAATAGAGGAGGAATATTTATATACTTAAAATGTTTCTATTTAATATATGTATTTTTAAATTATTGCTATATACAGACAGAACAACCCTGGACACTTAAATTTTATCAAAACTTACCACAAAAACAGCCATTTAGACTTGAAGAAAAAAAGATGTTAAACTAAACCGTTTCCAAAAATAAAGACGCTACAAAATGTACTTCTAAAATATTTTTATCTTCCTATTTATTGATGTAAAATGTTTCTTCTTCTTTAAGTTCCTTCCAAGAATTGACTGCTCTGAAAATATTCCCAGCACTGCCACAAACAGCAACACGTTTAAACTGTGTATCTCCTTCGCACACTAAAAATCTAAAACTAAAAGTATGCAACAAGTAGTCTACATCTCCACAACAGCAACGATGAGTTAATATGAGTTTTTATTATCATTATATTTCTATTCCTCTACAATCAGCAATCAAACTGGAAGCACACAGGCGGCCCAACGAAGCTGATAACACTCCCATAATGCATTCATCTAGTCAAAGTGGCAGTATTAGGACAAAGGATTACCCAGATTATGAGCTAGTATACATCTTCAGCTCTACACGGGATTAGGCCACTCTGAGCTGCACAGCGGTGTTTAACTCGTCTGGCCTGCACACGAACAGCCGGACTGGAAAAATGGCTAAATTATTCACTTCATTTACTTGGATAAAAAAAAACGTCGTAAACTGTATAACTAAGATAACGTGAGCATGTTTAAGGGAAGTGTTTAAAGTCACTGATTCAACATTTCTGGTTACATGTTTAAACCATGATGTCATAATTTAATATTCCCTTTAAGAAAAAGTGATTGGCAACGTCTCTCCTCTTTTTAAAAACAGACGGCTTTTATCGTTTAACAAGAAATTAACCGTAATAACTAACTTAACAGCATATACTTTAAGTATGTTTCTTGACAGGGTTTATGGTTTAATACACATCTGGGGACCTTTACTCTGCATCCGAGCAGCTCTGATCGGCTGTGACACACACACACACACACACACACACACACACATATACGAGGGATTAAGTCCCTAAAAAGTGCCTCTTTCCACATCTGCCAAAATCCAAGTTCAACAACCAATTTATTTCCAAGCTCCTTTCAAAAGAATACTAAAATCCTCTCAAACAAAGGCTTATTCATTAACGAAGAAAACTTATTTAATATTTCTGACAAACTGAGAACCTAGAAAAATTGGTTGAGTGCAATTGTTCATGACACATAAATAAAACTCAATAAAGCAACAGGTAGGAAGGTTAAAATATATGCAACAAGTTACTATGAAATTAAAAAAACTATTAATGTCGCTAATATTTATTTAATATTTAGTTAAAATGTGGGCACAAAATACATTCATTTCATAAAACAAAAAAGTACCAAAACGTACAAGCAAAACAAAACAAAAAACAAAATGCCCTAAAAAAAGCAGCTTTCACCAAATTATTTACCATCAAAGTTCACCATTATCATGAAGTAGTCAAGCTGAATTGCACAACTTGCAAATTCAAAGCAAATTCCAGTCTTAAGCGCTGCAAAACTGAGAGCAAACACCGACTTTGAAAAACACTTGAATTTGTCATTTCAGGATACTGAAATAAATCTCTGCACAAGAGAAAAACTGGAGCTTCACAAGCCTCCGAAAAAACAACAAGTCAAGTCAGAAAATGGTCTCAGCGCTTCCTCAAGGGGGGAAAAGATTGTGCACGGCCCGCCGAGCAGAACGATTTCGAAGGGGCTTACTGCTTCTTTGTACGTTTAACGCTTTCACATCGCCGGCCGACCAAACCAAAGGCTTCACCAGCCGATCCTTAATCAAACACACACACATCCAGAGAGAGAGAGAGAGAGAGAGAGAGAGAGAGAGAAAGAGCAGGAAAGAAAAGAGAGAGAAGGCTGTGTCTGACATTACAGCGCTGCTCCAAAAATAGCTCCCTGGCGCCCTGGCCTCCAGCTTGGTTGTCATGGCGACAGAACCACAGGCGCTATAAATAGACAATCGGCTCCAAATCTTGTGCGACTGGAGTGAGGCCAGAGAGAGGGAGAGACAGACAGGGA